AGAATTTGCAAACCATCAAAATTACTCCTAGAGAATTGGTTTGATTACATGACGAGCACCATAGAAATACACCAGAACGAGTGTTGAAGATTAAATGCAAAAGTCAACTTCTTTTTCCATCTTCATGACAATGGAAACATTTTATACGTTCAAGAAACTGTTTTTGCTTTGCTTATTTACTTTGTTTATTTACTTTCCACGACGAAGTGAGCCGTTATTATTATTCAGTCATTGAATAAAGATAAGTCAAATTAGAGAGTTAAATCCCCGATGTTAATATTCATGATCCGGGACTCATAAAAATATTACTCGAGACAGGCGAACGCGTTAATGAAACAACATGCTAACTTCGCGGGGCTCACGCAAAGCTCTTAAATTATTCTTGTAGCGTCTCACCCGTCTTTGTTGAGACCCTATTATTTTATTTAATTATTTTCTAATTGCGTATAAAGACGGAAAACATTGAACTTCTTTGTTCATTATGTTATATGGTAATTAAATATTCGAACACAAATTACACAAACACAAAATTAGAAAATTGTAACAATATAGAAACTACAAATTTTAGTCATCAATCTCTACAGCAAAATCCAATAGGCGGGAGAGTCGTCAAATTTTATTTCCACAACTAGTTGTGCCCGCGACTTCGTCCGCGTGAAATTTAAAATAAAAAAAAATCTAAAATAAAAGTAGCCTAAGTTACTCCTTATTACATCAGCCAATTTGGACGGGAGCCATTAGCCAAATCGGTCCAGCCGTTTCAGAGATTTGCCAGAACAAACTGACAGACAGACAGAATGTAAAAAATGTTATTTCGGTATATGTACCGTGTATACATCTATATGCATTTAGTAAAAAGCGGTTATTTTTATATTACAAACAGACACTCCAATTTTATTTATCTGTATAGATGAGACCCGACATCATCGATTTGACATTTGCAAAATTTCAACTGCTAGGAGAACACCAACTGTGTTATGTTGTCTTGGTATCGAACATGTGTAACAGCCAAAACGACTACGAGCGGTGCGTTTATGTAAACAACAACCGCCATCTATGAATTATTCATGAAAGACAACGGGAATGCTTTAAAAAGTTAACAAGGTTTTCCGAGCTTTTCCTTTGTTCTTGCTACGTACTGAGAAAAACAAATTGCCGCCCCCTCTTAGCCACGGTGATACCGCAGTGGCATGACTCACCTAAAATGTGAGACACGGAGTTTATGAATTATAAAATGTGTAGCCGGAGGTTTCGCGGACGCAAATTCCAGAGGCGGAATGTTTACATAAACAGTGAAAAGATAATATAACAATTACGTATACGAGTGTTTACTTAGTAACTGGGGTGTGGCTTTAACGCTAGTCGAAAGTTGTGGTCCCTCCGTGCGGAGTGCGCCGACAGTATCTCCACTTTGGATATCTATCTAACCGATAACAGGATTACCTCGCTCGCTCGGCTTGTTACCGGGTAATTCGCACACAAACTTCCTACTACTACAATCTAAACTCTTGTTCGGTCATGCGCTCCTGGTAGAGTACATAATATAATATAGAAGATTCTTCTTTTTCAAATACTTTTACAATCGAATATTTTATATATGCGTTTTTACATAACCGTTTTAAATTTTATATTAATTGTCAACGTTACAAATACTTAATTAAACGAAAACTTAAAATTGAATGCAAAACATCGGTTATCTAATGTTGTTTAACAAGAGTTAAAACAGATTAAAAATAAAATCGACTAGGAATATACGAGCACTTCTATACTGTGTAAATTAGTTAATAAAAAATAAGCTTTATTTATTTATAAAACAAATTCAATCAAGTAGAGGTTACTATGTCAAAGGACCAGTCATTTATTTCACAAGCGAACAACAGGACAGAATAATAAGGAAATAACAATTTGAACGCGAAACCAATTTGATACAAGCAAGGGTTACATTTGCATGACAATTGACTGGCTCGGCGCCAAAATTCGCAGATCATTACAATAAACGTTGTAATTAATAATATTCAACAGGCTAATGATTGTAACGCATCGTGACGTCGTGAGCCGTCGAAATCGACGCGTTCAAATCGAGAGCAATTAATTATTATTGGATATCATAATGGCGGATAAACTTTTGAACAGTTGGCGGGAGTCGTGAAACGTTTATGACATTATAAAATGGTAATGGATTAGCTTCATCGCCGCAGTCGACGTTTAACGAGCGACCAGAGCCAACTTCCTCAATAAAATAATAGTCTTTCGTCTCTCTATACGGGCGGGCGCGGATGCGGCGTTCAAAAAAAAGCATTTACGGCCACGAATGACGCTGGGTTGCATATTCAATCCATTGCGGACCGTTTTACAATGGAATAAAATCTATTATTGAGTAAGTTAAGTGTCAATTTAATCATGCCGTAAAATTATTTACTTAGAGGTCGTTTTGGCGGTAAATTAAATACGCGATTTTTGTAGAAAAAATGTCAGTCGCTGTTAACGCATATTTATATTGTCTCGTAAATGAACGTATTCTACAGAGTAATAAAATTATAACTTTTTAATACCCTTCAGGGCCTACACTATATCAATCCCCTTGGGATGCAATCCAAGCGTATCTGGAAATTTCCACAGAGGCCGTTGACTTTGATCGTGATGGAAAAAGAAGGAAAAGTTATTAATTATAACAAATAGAAGCGGGGAGGTGCGTAATTAAGAGTCCATTTCGCGACAGCCTCTTAAAATTCACTCCGCGATCCGCGGGGGAGTCTCAAAGGCGAAATAATTAAGGCGGAGGGCATAAGAAAATGGCGGCTGGAGAGAGATCAAAGCACGTAAACTTCTCCCCCCCCCCCCTCACCCGCGCCAGTAAAACGGAGCCGAGTGGAATTTCGGTGAAGGCACGGCGACGTTTCGAATAATCCGTTACGGGGCATATTCACGACGTTTACCTCACATATTTCTGCGTCACACGTCACACCATTAGACATTTACAACATATCTATTTACGAACAATAAAACGATAAATCATACACTGACGGGACAATGAAACCCACGATAGTGTATTTGAATGTGCATGAATAATATTAAACTTTTCTTAAATCTTCAGAGGAAATCTTCTTGAAGTCTTGAATCTTGTTGAAGTTTAGATATAAGCCGCCTATTTCTTCTTTTATTTTATTCGAATTGAGTTTTAATCCAAAGTAACGTAAAATACAATGGCAGAACACTAAAAAATTACTTGACAATGTTCGCAATATTACTCAGGGAAAATTGAACTGCAAAACGTTCTTGTTCGATAACAATCAGAAATAAAAATTAAGAATAAATTAGTTTCTATTGGGATTTTCATTTTCCAAATCTTTAAGTTAATTCAGGTCTCAAAAACACTCTGCTTACGATAAATCGTATGTCACATAAAATTCAATTATTCAGAGACTAACAATAATATAGGTATGATTAAATGGCGGCCAGAATGCTTTTAAAAACAGAATTTTCGACTCAAAAATCTCTAACTCTTACCTGAGATTCTTTGAATCTCCAGAGCTGCTAAAGCGGCCAAGAATATGGACTTACCTGAAAAAAATAAACAACAAACTATAAATCTAAATGTATTCATTATACAGGCTATAAAAGCATGAATGAATCAATTAACTTATCACCATTCATAACAGGTAAATAGAGAGATATAAAATATGTTTGTCAACTTAACAGCCGTGTAAAGATTTATCCAACTTAATTGGCGTTGGAGCGCTATAATTGGCAATTATTTACAACGTGTCTCAAAATATTTTTGCATATAATACTCGTATTTAATAATTGCAACATCACAAAATCGAAATAATGGCTATTTAATCAAGTTTAATATTATAACAAGATATTTTACAATTAATTATTCATCGCATCTTATTTCCAACATTATAGAAGAGTATTTTGCAACCGCTTAAAACTAAGTTTTTGCGTTATGTATTCAGAGTTGTTTTCAAGCGGATGTCGAAAGAAAGTTTTGGAGTTTGTTGTTACTTTGTAGAGCACTTCATACAAAACTTATAATCAAGCCATTGAAATATAATAACTGCGTAATAGTTTTCTTTATTAATACAAATTAAAATGCAAAGTTTTGAGCTGACGTATAACATGTGTGGAAATATATATTTGATTCATTTGTTAAACCCATATTCACATTTTTTGTTAAAAAAATTTTATGGTATTTTTTTGTTTCCGATATTAACAAGAAAGGTATTATCTAAATTGAAATAACTAGCTTACCCGTGCGAAATTTTTGCACATTACAGAGATTAGTACCGAATGATATAATGTGAAAATAAATATTTATCAATTAAAAATATCTTATCGTGAAGAGCAGTCTACAGCGCTATCATGAATTTAAACAAACCGTTAAAAGATATATATAGCCTACATTCTTCACCGCCAATATTTTAAAAACGATAGCTTTTTTGTGGCAAACAAACTTTAATAATGATGGTGTTTGAATCATTAAATTTGATGAAGAATTATGGAAGTTATGGCTTACGGACAAAACATAATTTTGAGAAATAATATATAGGAATAGGGCAAGATTAATGTATTCATAAAGCCGTTATTACCTCACACATGAAATCAATTCACTAACATAACATATAGGAGACAAAAGCTATTCGAATCCACTTTTATAACCGCGCGTGTGAGATCTCGAAATAAACCAACAGGCGGTCGTACAGAATGTTATGAAGCAGTGATATGAAAACATTATTCGAGAACGTATAAATAAAATTGGCGAATGGCTTCTTCCAACGAAGCGTAAGAGCGTGGCGGAATTAAAAAAGACTCTTTAATGACTCACGCCTAAAACGAGGGAATCGCTTAGAGGCTTTGAATTGTAAAAAAAAAATTAACATTCAAATTAGGAAGGCGCTGTTAGTGGAATTAGTGAGAGTCCCGCTCATAAATCGTCTGGAGAGGGTGGCGAGTGCCCGCCGCTTTATTGGCTCCACGTCGACATCGCGCGCTAATAAATGAAGCGGGAAAATTTCCACCGAGCCAGCGCGCCGTTTGCACGCGGAAGACATCGGCGCGGTGGCCGCGTGCGTTTCAAACGAATTGGGCGCGTATTTCGAGTGGCGTTGGGCTCAAAATTGGGCGGGGCGGATTTTACGAGCGTCCCCGTCCCTTACCCCCGCGTTCGCAGCGAAGAGGCCGGGGCGAACGCATTATGGGTTATGAAATGAGCTCGGCTGTTTCATGTTAGCCCAGCAAGCAAAATGTAATTATGAGCGTGGCGCGTCCAAAGAAAGCGCGCATGACGACTCTTATTCCTACCACCGGCTTATAGCTTTTATTACTTACATTTCTTATATTATCTATTATTAAACTCCAAAGAGCGGACGCTTTTTTTAATTTCTATACCAACTAAAAGCCTTTTAATAAATCAATTCCTTATAAGTATGAAAAATATTTTATAGATAATTACCATTTTCATATATAATGAAGAAGGTAAGTATGAAATCTAAATTTTAATGTTAAGTTATTTTATTTACATTCCCAAGGAAAAAAGCACATAGTGTAAATTCAAAATATTAATAAACAAACAGAAATTTCCTTTGTGTAAGTAAAACATTGCACGTAAAGAATTGCGAAATTACTAAAAGACAATAAGCGCAAGAATTCGAGTAACTTCCGACGGTGACATAACGTTAAAACATAAATAAAAGATAACCAAAATACATTTAAATATAACTAAATACAAAGAGGAAAACTAAATTAATGTTGTGTAAATATACCGACACATGACATAACTCATGACGAACACTTTTTTTTATCTTTATTGCGCTTAAATAAGAGATAGACATTAATTAATCCAGATTACACATTGTCTGTCATGTCCGCAGCGATATTAATTATTAACTGTAATCAAGAGTACATAGTGAGCCGTTAATATCGGATCCAATCAAATACGTAATTAATTTGAAGGGAGGCTTTGATGTCTGCGGGAGAGACGTACGCCGCGTGCGAGTGCCGACGTCATTACTCGAATAATGGCGCTATGTTTTGATATCGCAATTAAAATTGATGTAATGCACATTTCATCCTTTCAAATTATCATTACAATTAACGATATCATACATATCATTACAATTAACGCGTGGGGCAATACTTCGTTTCCCAGAACTAATAAAATTTAATCGCTAGAACGATACTTCATATGTATAAGCTCTAATTGTATCATTTCAATAAAATACAATGAAACATTTTGATAACACAAAATTTGTATAAGGAATTGTATAACACGCGGATAATGAAATATTTTAAACACACAAAATCGACATACGCGGATAACGAATGTGAACGTATGTAATTCTAACAGCGATAGCAAATTAGAGGAAAAGGAAACCGTTACAAATAAATGAAATATGAACATCCATTTCCGACTTTGAGCGCGCTTTCTAGAGAGAACACATTTACGAATACATTGAGCAATTTAGAAGCGTCATTTTAATAAACGTGACTTGTTAAGAGTACTGATAGAACCCATAGAGCTTTAGATAAACAGGAATACAAAAATAACATTCCGTTACAAAAACAATACCTATTAAGTCTTTCAATATAGATTTCGAAGACAAATAGTTTACTTGGTGCTTTTTTACTTTTAATGCTTTTTTTATTTTAATTTCAACAGTGAAGTTAAAATCGATTTCCGATTTAAATACATCTTTCGCCTTTCTAATTATACCCGCGAAAATATGTGTACACAGTTCAGCGAGGCGTGAAAGGAGAAATGATCACACGCTGTGGTAGAGTAAATATAAGCAACCATATATCGTTATATAATGTGCTAAATTACTAGAGAAGCTATTTAGAGCAAAATTCTTGGTCCATCTTTGGAAAGTTTAATCTAAAATCCGCTGCAGCGCTTAAACGATAATTTTGTCGAGTAACCAAATGATTCAGACATGTAGCGCTAGTCCGCTCAAACGTGTAATTTTCTTGAGACCAAAAAGTCGTAAGCGCCAATTTTATTTCACGGCGCTTACCCGTTTTGTTCAACGATGTTTAACAATGTTTAGGCCGTAAAGATTACACGGTATAAGGAATGTAAAACGACATACCTTTTGTACCTACTAACTTCATTAAGATTCACTCATTTTATCATAATTAAATTATTAAATTAAACTGAAATTTTCACCGTAGGTTCTTGATACAACTTTTCGATGGGAAATAAAAAAAAATACGTAATTCATTTTTGGGAATTGTATTCGTAAAGGCTATACAATGTAGGATGATTTATGAACATGTTTTGATAAAAAACATTAAACTCCGAATAATTTTACGAATGTTTATTATAGTTATCCTCAAACAATATAAGTTTAGTTAACTTTCTCTAACCTGACTAAGATTTTTATCCTTATATAATATAGACAAGGCATAGCAGATACTTTTAACAAGCAGTCTTCTTTGTATTTATCCTATTCGCGAAATTGCGAGGAACAAAATGTAATAGTAAACCTTGCTTCTCATTGCGGTTGATTTGGACAAATTTTATCCCTTTTTATATCACGTTTTCTCGTGTTTTAGATGTGAAAACCTTAAATGGAAAATTAAGAAGACTGTAAAATTTTACTTTCATTTTATTACAACCCACCTGGCCCGAACAGACATTGTCTTCCTCAATCATTTTCATAGAAATTCATAGAAACGAGCACCTTCAGTTTTTCCCGCATATCCCAATTTTCAACTTTTACAATTTTACCCTCGCTAAAAACGTTTTATGGACATTTTTAAAGAAAACTTCGCTCCATCCATTCTTGAGTGACGCAATTACTAACGAACAGAATTAAAATTTTATTTATATAGATTACTCATTACAAACTAATTATAATATGACACAAAATCAGCGTAGAATGTCTTTATGTAGAATGATACAATATCTGATATATCGATGGCCCCTCGATAGATTATTGTTGAAGAGATCGACTTGGTCAACTGCTGTTTAAAGATATTTTAATGTATATTTCTGATATATTTAAAGCTTTTGATATGATGGTAATTTTTTTATCAAAAGTCTTAATGTAGATATAAATTCTAAATCAAAAGCTTTTACTGCTGTCCTATATGTTATGTATAATATTTTAATATGTTGACTTCAAGATACGAGTCTGCTTAGTAGCAATCCATATATTTCGTTCGTATTTATTTAAAAAACGTATTTAAAAAAAAAATCAAGTTTATTACCGAAGAAAAGTTACAAGTACAAAGTTACAGTCCTTCACATTTCGTATTCCTCGAATTATAAGTGAAATATGTAACAAAACACACCATGGCGTATTAAGAGTGTTATTAACGTTTAGGACACTTAATTAAACTCTTTGAATTGATCATACTGATCATTAAGAAGATCATTCTGGTCAATTTAGAGAGTTAAACCATCCCTTTGGCAACTAAAATGAAAATTTAAAAGCCATTTGACAGCTGATATCTACGATGATCAGTGTTTCAGAAACCGGACGTTAAAGGCTCAAGGACTAGTAAGTAAGTGTTGTAGACGTCCATGAGTGGTAGCAATCACTTAACATAAGGTGAACATAACTCGCTTGTAACCTTCTCACTCAAAAAACTATACGTCGTATAATATACACCGTTCGGAATTTTAACCACGTGAGAACGAGGTTGAACGAAACAATGTCGGACCTAACTGAGCAAAGGCTACCACTGTTTAGATTCCTCACGAATCGAGGGGATACTAAAACGTACCAACGCAATTAGCATCAGGGAAATACACGATAGGGGACTAGCGTATCGTGTGTTTTCTCGAAATTTCCATCGTGGTCGTTCCATTCGTATGCGCGATGGACAACCGAATGCCTACGTGATACGTTTTATTACTCGCCGACCTCATATAGACCGAGATTGGCCCCGGCACATTACATCGTATCACACTCAAGACAGGGAAGAATCGGCTTTTATATGTGCTAACGCGATTTCCGTACTACCACACCAATTATAATTAAGTGAGACAGTAATCAGTCTGTAATTAAACGGATGAAACACCACACCACAACAAAACTACCATTGTAATATATTCCAATATGAAAAAAAAATGTATCAAATATTCCGCACAAAACAGCTGTCGATAGAAAACACTACTACATTCGCCAAGAACAAGCTTTGAAAGAGTATGGCTAACAAACAGAACGATTTGTGGTGCGTTTGTATCCATTCCCACAATAACGTGGTAGCCACGGAAGGCTCAGAGATCACGAAGTGGCCTAGCATTAGCCTCCGCCCTGAATTATAGCTCCAGCGTAGCCTTCTGCTGGTTTATGGCCAATGATAGACAATGGCAAATGGCGCATTATGTAAGATCACTTGAAGTTCCAGTTTCATTTTATGAGATAGTAACAATTTTTATTACCAAAAAACAAAACCGACTACCAATATCTCACTCCGTATATATTCTTCTCGATTTTATGGAGTTTCCTGATGTATCTACCGAGTTCAAGTTCCATTATTAATAATATACACACATTACTATTTGGACTACACGAGAGCTTAATCGTATCCATTGCAAAAATATATTTTTAAATAATTTGCAAAAGTGATACCGATTTTTTTTTTAAAAACCATGTGCAAAAAAGGCTGCAATTAAAAGATAAAGGCAACGGTATACTTATTAACGATTTTAATAACTCTGATATAGTGTCAGTACTTGGGAAAAAAAAAAGAAGAACCATTGAAATCGAACTGTAATCATGGTAAATATTACTTGGTAAATAAATCTACAGATAGATGGAATATTGAAACCGGCCGTAAGCAATGCTAAATACTGCTTAAATAACCAATATAAAAAACATGAAAGGAGGTGTCTATAAATACCTAACTGGGTTGTAGAATTTTCAGTTAACAAAATCGCTCAAGTAATATTGAGGGCTTATACGAAATTTTGATAACGCGATTAGGGCTCGGATAAGATAACAATCGACATGGAACCATTATTTCATTTAAGTTGTGTAGAAATCAATATAAAGTATTCTAGTTTGCGGGAATAATTCGATTTGATTTTGATTTGATTGAGTCGAGAATCACTCGTTGTTAAGTGATTACCGTACACCAAAAAAAGGTTGCCAAGCTATAAAAGTAGCCTAATTCACTCAACAGAAGAATCGCAAATTTATTTATTTTGTATACATAAAAATTTGCCGTGATAGCTCAGTGTCCGAGCGCTCGCCTT